CATTAGACTGACTCAACAAAGTAATTGTCAAGTCTCACAGGAGTGAGAAAATAAGCTTCTAAGAAGCCTCACTTGACTATGTTTAAATATTAGACACATTGCTTTGCTCACTGCTGGGACTCAAGGGAGTGCCAGCACACAGATCACAAGATCCCGTCTTCCAAGGATGCAAAATAGTTGTGTAACAAATAAACTGAGAAAAGCAATTTGAGCTCAAAATTTATCCAGCTTGAAATTCCCTCTGAGTTTATTTGAGAGGCATTTACATAAATGACCAAGGAGTAACAAAAAACCTTTTGCTCATTACAGATTTTAGGTTAATATACACATATACAGGCATAGATATAGTGTTGAACTCAATATGACACTGAAAGATTTTTGTAGGATGTTTTGATTGTAGTGTTACATCTAATCAACTCCATTAAAAAGACTCAGATTTATTAAAAACATTGTTTCTTATTGAATTACATACTACTGCATTACTAAGATTTTTTGAATGCCAGAAAAAAAATGGCAACTCCCCATGTTGAGATAAATGGGGTTACTAGAGGATCCAAACAACCCTGGCTTGCTCTGCCATTTCTCTAAAAGCTGTAAGTAAAATGTTTGGAAACAGAAAGAATTTATGGAGGTTTGAAAAGAAAAAAAAAAAAAGCCTCTAAACTAAACAAAACAAAACAGGTACTCATCCATGACATGCAATTAGTTCTGTTCCAAGTACATAATCCTGTGAGAAGGCTCTGAAAATCTTATTGCTCTAAAATAAATTATCTGGTTTATGTTTTTATCATTATTCAGAATGATGCACAGTGCCATAAAATTGAACAAACACTTTTCCAAGGCAGTTAAATGTTATGCCATCATGAAAAGTATTAAAATAATCACAACTAAGAGACTGGATATCTTGGAATTTTAGGGTTTTTATACCACCAGTTTGTTGAAATTGAAAGGGTTCTGGAAACAGACAGTAAAATTAAAAAAAAAAAAAAGTTCTTGAAACTGTATTTTTTTTCTTATTAATATAACTCTCAGCTTTCTAGAGATTATTATTTATAAGTTTAAGTCAATTATATACTACTGTATTTTTTAGCTATCTTTGCTATAATTATGGTATGCTGTTATTACAAACCAAAAGTTTATACAAGGATGCATAATATAACTTGAGTGTCACAGCTTTTAATTTTTAGCACAAAAGAAACTATTTATGAGCCACCCAGCTTAGGGTGAACAGAATTTTAGCTGAAACATATTGCAACCAATATGCTGACAATGCAGACTAATTCAGTGAGCAGTCTTAACTGACACACATTTTTTGGGGCTCTTTAAAAATTTACTACCATGCATTTAATCTCATATATTGGGTTGATAAAAACCAAACAAACAAAAACAACCCAAGCCAACCAAAATTCATACAACAGAAATAAAATCTCAAAATAATATAAAGAAAACTGGGGGGAAACTGGAATGTGAGATTTGAATTAATGAGATATGAATTAAGAAAACAGATCCATTTTATGTTATGTTCAAAGTCATAGGAATCAAAACAGTTTAGACTAGGAAAGCAACAGAATCAGATCCATTCAGGAAAAAATAGACATACTGAAGACTTACTGGTGAAAACCAAGCTGTTTACAGGAGCACACAAAAGTATCAAACACCTGCTACTAACCCAGCCTCCCATTCATGGATAGAAAATCAAGGTGAAGAAAACCAAACAAAAGCATTTTTTCAGGTACCAACTTTAGAAAAACCATTGCTGTGAGCTGACTGATATGCAGAGACAAAGAAAACTTATTTTCCAAGAACAATCCAGATGGAAACGTCCTCACAAAACACTAGGCAGTAAATAAAATTATATTTCAAGAACACCAATCTCCTTTTCCTGTAGGCTAGGAAAGTTCATTAACCTACATGTCTAAAATTTTCAAGAATTTACCTTGTGGAACACCCACTATCTCCTTCTTATTCATGAAGAGCACTCAATAAAATTGTTGTATGGCAAATAAAAGCTTGAATAACTCCAAGCACATGACAGAAGAATTAACATGCTTTGTTTTAAACACAAGTTGTCCTCTCTAAACACAAAGTCAACCCCACAACATTAAGTCATATTCTGGCCATGTTTAAAGATTAATAGTGCCACCAAAAAGCTTACATTTCTTAACTTTCTTTACCCTAAAAATACTTGAGGCTATACCACCACAGTTTAATGTGGGAAAAAAATTCCAGGTGAAGCTTGGTAGGTTTTTTTTCTCTCAAGACACATTTCGACTTAGCAAAGCTCAGCACTGTGGTTGATGGCCACATGCAGCCCATAACAGCCCCCAGACCTGCCTGTGACCCAGGATTTCAGAACTGATGGCCATAAAAGCCCAGAATGCTGCCTGAAGCACAGCACTGGATTCACATACAAAATTGTCCCTTTTCACACCCTGGTGGAAGCAGCTGAGTGCGAGAAGCCACTGCAACACTACATTACCACTAACTAGTTCAATTTTTTGCATGTAAAGACAGGACACAAAAATTAGGGCAGGGTTTTCATCAGCTATATTTTTCCATGAAATACAATAAACCAACTACTGTTTGCTAATACAAGATGTCCTAAACATTATAATTATGTATGTCTGTAGAAATAATTATTACTCTCAAGTTTTAATTCTGCTCAGCAGGTAATACTAATGTCTCTAAAGTAATTCAATAAAATTAAAAAAGAAATCAAAGTAATTAGTTATTCACAAGTAACATTCCCTAGCATAATGTAAACAACCTATAGCTCTTCATTGTCTGTTAAGCATGTGACTTCATATGTCTTTTCCACTTATTTTATTTCCATTACATTATTGTATTACAATTCTTTGCAAAACATTGTGTAAGCCACACAGAGTACCACTGTACATATTAAGAGTTTTAAATGTACTCAATGACACATTTGACTAAATTCATATGCCTCTTTTTAAAACCTTTCAGTTACTGATTTCACATCAGTAATTTTTCCTCCACAATCTAATCAATGTACCAAATAAGATCTAGTAGTTACTATTAAAAGTACAGCTGTATGAAGCATGAGTTCACATCGCTTGTTACAGATTTACATAGTCTTCAAAAGCTGTTAGGAGTATATTAGCAACAATATTTATAAAACAGAGGACTTTCTCAGAAGCGCATAAGGATTGCTAAGAAACAGGTATAACCAAATGCCACGTGAGTAAGGGCACAGTGCAGCTGCTGCATGGGCCACAGCACCAAGAGGTAGAACACACCTACCTGTGTTAAAGTGTGAGGGTGACCTACCCAGGAACACAGGCTAGCGAGGGTGCCAGGGTTAGGCAGAGGGAGAACTGTTCTCAATTTCTCTGCTGCCCCTAAACACCTAACTGGACCTAGAAGCTTGTATTCAACAGACGCACCAGTGGGATTCCCCATTTAAGAGTTTAAGGATAAATAAGAACAAGATAAAATCAGAAATATCCTACAAAAGTGAGATCAAATTCACTAATGTGAATATTAGGAAGTAAATCTATGACACTTAAGTTTTTTTTCTTCTTTTAAGGGACCTTTTGACTCTTTCATTCCTTTCCTGATTTGTGCCTGTCCTACCCTCACATCCTTTTTGATGGGAGGAAAAAGAAATAAAATTTTCTTCTCCCCTCCTATCCTGCTATCCGTTTTTCCTGCTAGCATCTATGCATAATGGTACATCATTGCTTTTCGACAGAATTCCCAAGATATTTCATTAGGTATCTCTCTGCCAAAATTTGTGATGCATTGAGACCAAAATGTTTCAAGTCCTGTAACATCATTGCAGAATTCTTATTCCAATATTGAGCAAGATCACAAACAACTGTCAAATCTATTATTATATTAGCATAAATGTTAAGACACTTTCTTTAAAGGTTTTTGCTTTGAAGAAAAATATTTTACTTGTTTGTTAAACTCAAGAGATAAGTCAAACTTACATACCCAAATACACAAAACATTCCCCCTTAAGTGTCCTTAATATAACACAGTCTCATCAGTAGATTTTTTTCTAAAATTTGAAATTCAAAGATTTATTGATTCCCACACAGAGCTATTGTTAAAAGATCTTCGAAGGGCCTTTTTACTAAAATGAGTGCCAATTTTGTTTTCAGTGGCACTCAAATTGCCTTCAGTATGGGGTAACAATGCCAAGCCAAAGAAGGCCTTTATCAGCTGCAGTTTGAAGTACTGTAAACAAATTTATAAAAAGCACCAGAAGATTTGTATTATACTGTCAGCATATCTTCTTCTGACCACATAACTCAGAATATGCAACTAAAGCTTACAATATTTTAAAAAGCATCAGTATCCTACAGCAACAATATAAGAAGTTAATATACATTATCAATCTTTCCTAAAGAGTTCTAAACCATGCTTCCTCACACTAGTTATGGAGCTGAGCAGCTGCCTGTAACTGGTTAGAGCATCCACTAGTAATCTCAGATGAAGTCTGAAGTTCCTCTAATCCTAAACGTGTTTAAATTAAAAAGTTTTGTTGCAGACTCCTATGAGGTCAGGATTTCATCACTTCTTTCCCGTATTGAAGTCTACATCATGGTCACCCTTGAAGGTGTTAATTTGGTTTCAATAATGAGTTCTTTTTATTTAAATACTTTATAGCAACTTCTAAATGTACTTTGGGAATAATCTCAGATTGGGAGAAGTTCAATTTCCAAAACAATCTCAACTTCCAACCTGTTTCCCACAGATGACCGTTTCTGCAGAATGCAGATGGGGTGCATCAGGGGAGAGTGATAAACACATGAGAGCTCATACTCAGAAAGGTACCATTCATTATTCTTTAGAAGGCACTGTGTAAGTGTAAGAACAATGAAGAACATGTAACAATAAAGTCGAGGCACATCTATCAGTTAAAAACCAAGATTCTGTATCTGTTAAGGTCCCCCAAGAATGTATGAGGATCCACAATCACCTCTTACTGGTGTCACCTAAACTGGTTAAGAGGGCCAAGTATTCAAGAATTGCATTTATAAAAAAACCTATCATGATGGACAGTGCACCCTGTCTTAGTGTAAAAATGCATCCAATTTCTTTTTGATATGTTCAAAAGCATCTTTCCCCATATAGTCCATGCGCCCTTCCTCCCATTTTCTCCGTTCATCTTCTGGAGTTGGTTTTGCTGGTTTGAAGTGAATAGACAGCTCTGAAACAAAATGTGCAACCTCACTCTGTGGGAAGAAGAAGAAGAGTGGGAAAACAGTCATTTGGTTTTTCTTATTTCAATACTGTGACATTAAACCATAAATGGTAAACTTCTGCACTGTACACTCCCAGTTAAAACAATGAAATAAACGATATTCAAATGTTCACTGCTGTTTTGATAATTTGACCTCATTTTCCCATGGTTTTACTACTTTCCATGGCATCTTTGAACACACCAAACATTTATTTTACTGATCTTAACTCAGATCTTGGCATACTCAGCAACAATACAATGAAAATATTACAAATACTGCCTAGTTAGAATAGAGTATCTGCTACAATGAAGAATTTATAATTTATATGTTCAAATCTTGTCTCCAACAAGCTTTCATGGAAACATACATTTCTAGAATTTTTCGTAACTAGTTTTATTTGAACTCCAGTGAGATCAATATTATCTAGCAGATGTGAGACACACTGTTTTAATAAATTAATTCAAAATATAGGCACTATTCATTACACCAACAGCTAGTTAATTTTGAATGACATTCCAAAATTGTAAATGCTGGCTCAAAGTTATGACATCATAGGTGCACAAATGCAAGACACATTATTAGTGATAATTTCTACCACATAAAAGGAAAACTGTGTCCCCAATTGATCAATGCCAGCAAAAAAAGGAACATCCCAACAATTATAACCTGTAATAAAGATGAAATATAACAAGGACTAATCAAGGCTGCCACTAAAAACCTTCTTTCGGTACTACTCATAGAGGCTCATAGGAAAACCCATCTCACATTGTAAACAAAACCGAAATCAACAAGAACGGCTTTCTAGTGAAGTCTTCAAAAATTCAAGGTAAAAATATTTCAGAATATAATTTAATGGGCAGGAATCAATGTCTTAAACTGCCTAAATGCCCTGGAATATCCATTACCTCTGCCAGTTTGGGGCAGATAAGGCACAGGACTTGTGGAAGGCAAGGTAAGGTATTTCAAAGAACCAACATGCAGTAAGGTGTCAAGATTTCTTTCTTTGTCATTGGCAAGTTTTATCAAAAGCTTTGGAAGCCATTAACAAGATGACCAGAATCATAATGTTTTTAGAAATTAAGAATTTTAGCTAGAGCCCAAACACCCCTGGCTGCACAGGAGCTACAGTTTTGTTTCTCAGTCTTTAAGTATTTCACCACAGTGCTTCACAATCATATCAAAACCCTCATTAGGAGAACGGCTGTGTGGTGTACCTTACAAATCCCTGACACCCTGCCAACCCCATAAACACCAATCTGCTGCTGTTGTCACACTGTCCACAGGTGCCCATATACAAGTGTCCATAAATGCAGTGCAAGATCACAAAGGAAAGCCTAGTCACTCAGGCTCCTGCATGATCTCTTTCCACTTGCTTGGAAACATCACTTCAGCAGGTAAAAAAAAACCCACAACAAAACAAAACGTAACAGAACTAACAAACACAAAATACCCGAACGGCTTTGATTGTGTTAGTATAGGAGAACTAAAATTAACACCATGCTTTGATTACTCGGGGGTTAGCAGAGGAAAACACATTTAGAAACTCAAAGTTTTGAAAGAAAACTGGAAAGGGATCAAAACACAGTATTGGAAACAGTTAAGGAATTACATGAATAAAAAAAAATTAAGGAATTTATTTGCACATTGCATTATAATTAGTTTCCCAAAATTACATTGGCAGCAAAGACGCACATGCAGTTATCAACAGATATTGAATGCACAAAGCTACATGTACCATTTCTGAGGTTTCCTGAAATGCAGGTTGAAATACAGGTTGTTCTGAAGGTCTGTCAGGCTCAGAGGGACGGACGTTAGAATCTCTTGGTTCGACTTCATGTACAGGTTGCTAAAATACAGCCACTGAGGTTTTATTAGGGAAATATTTTCTCATAATTTCCTTTTCATGAGAATTCATACAATACAATACAATCACTTTCAGTCTTGGGGGAGGGTAAAGCAATGGATGGGAGGAAACCGAGGAAGCACATTATCACCAAGGAGAAAATTCATGTTACCCAGCTTTAGCTTTCAAAAAAGGCATTGAATCAAAGCTCCTACTACAATGAATGTAGGACTGATTGTACCTCCAGAGGGCAGCTCATCTCATCCTAAAATAGGTTCAAAGTGGCTGTCATTTTTCAGTGACTACACATACAGCCTGGCAAGTTTACCATTCATGATTCCTACCATTCATGCGGCCAAACTTCAAGAAAATTCTCATTTCAGGATTACAGCTTGCTCTCACATTAAGTTTTTTATATGTATGAAATAAGAACAGAACAAAGTATTTCAAAACAGAGGTAATATAGATTGCCCAAAAAATATTGTCCCAAATATTTGCTTTTGACAGGTAGCAAAACATAAATGAGTAGTCAGATCCCATTCTAAAGTCTTTTCCCTCAAAACAATTCCACAAGTATATTGAAGCTGGGCAACAAAAAGTGGAACAATGGTATTCTTAAGCAAGAAGGGAATCAAGCTATTACTTTCCAATTAATATGGTCTTCTGATAAGCCAATCCTAGTAATCAAAATACTAATAGGAATTTAAATTTTAATGAAACTACTTTAGGTAAACATGATTTTTTTACCCCAAACAGACATCTTGATAATGTGTCCCTATTTAGTTTGAGCCTTTCTAATGAAGTCAGATGCATAAGGCACACAAGAAAATAGTTCCTTTGCAAATAAATTATTCTTAAGTTATGGAGCTGGAAGGTTTGCAATTTTCCTTCAGCTCCTTCACACTCGGAGAGGAAAGGGAAGAAGGGGAGGAAGAGGGTGAATGGGAAAGGAAAATTACAGTTTTACTTTATAGACTAACTGTAGACTAAAGAAATTAAGGAAAGATGATCTTGAAAATTGTCTTCATTCTACAGTGTAGTTCGCAAATTACAATGCAGATGACATTAGAACGCTAATTTTATTTTCTCCCAGTTGTATCATGGGGTAATACAGTTTATCACGCAATATGTAATGACTTACACCTGCAGAGGCATTGTGCTATTATGTCCAACTTAATTCCTACATAAAATAAGGAGATTCAGTGCAACAGAAACACACAAATACAAGAAAAGGGACAAAAGAAACAGAAAAACTGTAATATTCATTAGTGGATTTTTTCAAGCCTCTCCTTGTTGCTCAAGTCACAGAAATTTGAGAAACAGCTTTCTGGATCAATACTTGTGGGAAAAAAACTTTCTACAGAGGAATGATAGAAAGGATTCTAATTTAAATATATTAACTCACAAAAGTATTAATATTCAAAGTATTACTTTGGTAGCAGATGTTTTTTTATATTACATTTGATTAAGTACGTAACAACTTTGAATAAATAACCTCTTCCTAAAATGCAAAGCAAACTTTCAACTTCCAGACACATCATACATGCATAACTTAAGATTAAAGAAAATAAATAGGCTTTAGATTATTTTTAATGGTAGTGAGAAAATTCAATAGCTATAGTTAAATTGAAGATATGATCTTCCAAATCAGAAGCATAATGAAAGAATCTCCTTTTAGTATATTATTTGACTTTGTTTCTGCATATAATAATAAACAACACACTCACAGCTTTGAATGCGAGTTCCTCAGGTGAGCACGCTGTGGGATTTACTTCACTTGTCTGCTCTGGGATCTCAGGCTCTTGTATGGAACTGGCCACATAAGGACTGACCTTCTTCAGGGTAACTTCAACTCCATTGAATGCGTGCTAATGAAAACAAGATCATCTCACCACTAAAATACAATTTTTCAGAATGGCAATAACTTATTTGCAACAGTTGTGCTTCCATAGAGGGTTCTCATCATTAAAGGAATATCTTAATAAATGCAAAAAAAAGTGTATGATCCTAGATTTAGAGCATGCTGCAGTTTAGGTTTTTGCTTTTTTGCACTCACGAGCATACCAGCATCCCAGCCTCATGAGGTAAATCTAACTGGTATTTCCACCTTCATTTACCATAGCTGAAATATTTCTTTAATATGCAGTGCCTTAAAAATTAAAGCATGTTAAAGTATAATATCAAAAACTACCCACTCCTTCCTCTGCTTTCCAATTTGTCATGAGGTTAACAAGCGAAATTATTCTCTGGGGCTTTGATGGTAAATATTCAGCTGATCTTAAGGGGATTATGCAATTAGTTCAATTATGTTAATAATTTAATAATACAAAACATTAAGAAAATATTTACATATGCATAAATGGGATCTAATTTGTCACGTCTGGATACAAAATTAAAACATGTACTTCTACACATTTCCTTATGCTACTGGCTTCTAAGAAATCATCTATTTATAACAGATTGTTTTTTATTCTATTAATGAAAAGCACATTTCATTTGAAGAAAAAAAGCATAAAGAGATCAGTAAATGTTCGATGACATAGGAGTACTGCACATAACATCTTAAATACAATTAACACAGCTTTTGCAAACCTGATTTATTTGTTATCACCTCATAAAATAAGTTATAATGTAGTTCTGAAAAGGTAAATTTTAGTACAGTTCAAGAGCTAGTTATACGGTCTATATCAATTTAACTAAAAGAAAAACAAGAGTCTGTTTTGTGGGCCAGATTTTCCCTTCTCTGGCTAATTTGTATCATATTTTGTATGCACATACATTACCATTAAAAATTTATCAATTAAGAAGATGGCGGCAGGATATCTTGGGAAAGCAGGTAATACTAGAAATCCTTCCTAAACAGCTACTTTGGACACTTCAATACCAACCAACAGATACTAAGTTTTCCCACACATATTGGAATTGCATGGCCAGGTTTTGGTTAAAGGGTGATTCCAGGAGTAGCTTCTGTGAGAAGCTGCTGGAAGCTTCCCCCAAATCCAGCGGAGCCAATGGCTCCAAAATAGACCTGTCACTGGCCAAGGCCAAGCCCATCAGTGATGGTGGTAGCACATTTGGGATGAAAGATTTAAGAAGGAGGAAAATCCTTCTTCTTAAAAGAAGGAGGAAGGAGTTTCCTTGAAACTGGACAACTGCAGACAGAGGAGTGAGAACATGTGTTAGCAACAACCCTGAATGCATCAGAGTCACTGAAGAATGAAGGGGAGGAGGTGCTCCAGGTGCCAGAGCCGAGATAACCCTGCATCCCATGGAGCATCAGGATGTCGTTCTGTAGCCCATGGAGGTCCATGGTGGAGCACAGATCCACCTGCACCCCATGGTGGACCCCACACCACAGCAGGTGGATGTGCGAAGAAGGCTGTGACCCCATGGAAATCCCATGATGGAGCAGGGTCCTGGCAGCACCACTGGACCTATGAAGACAGGTGCCTGCAGTAGAGCAGGTTTGCTGGCAGGACTTGTGACTCCATGGGGGACCCACACTGGGACAGGCAGTGCCTAAGGGACTGCATCCCACAGCTCATGGGAAGGACTCATGTTGGGAAAGTCCATGGAGGACTGTCTCCCATGGGAGGGACTCCACACCTGGAGCAGGGAAAGAGTGTGAGAAAACCAACCCCTGAAGAGGAAGGAGCAGCAGAGACAATACATAATGAACTGACCACGGTGCCACTGGTGGGGGGAGTCAGAGAAAACAGGGAGTAAAGTTGAAGCCAGGAAGATGTGAAGGATGGGGGTAGGTGTTCCAAATTTGGGGTTATTTCTCATTACTCTATTCTGACTTGATTGGTAATAAATTCATTTCCTGAAGTTCAACCTGTTTCACCTTTGATGGTACCTGCTGAGTGATCTCTCCCTGTCCTCATCCAGACCCATGAGCCTTTCCTTACATTTCCTCTCCCTTGTCCATCTTAGGAGGAGAGCAGTAGCGTGGCTTTGGTGGGCACTTGGAATCCAGCCAGCGTCAGCCCACCACATCATAAAATTTCTTCCTCTACCAATTTTCAGAATTTTTGGTTTTGATTCCAACGTATTCCCACTAACTCCTTATCAGTTACCTTGCATTCCTCAGATTCTGATTTTTCCATCTTTTGAAGATTTTCCAACAAAGGCAATATACTGGCACTGTATATATTCCACCAGAGGGCAAGAAATGACAGTTGATGAGAAGATCCAGAGTTGGCGCCATCCTGCATAACTGTCTTTGTTTGAAGGCTGTATTTGTAGTTCCAGGGCTTTGTTGATCCCAAGAAGTGAACAACTTTGGCATCTCTACCAAAACTGTAGAGAGTAAACACACAGGTCTATACATATTTTTTTTTCTTTTTTACCTTATATAAGCTTCTAGAAGAAACATGCTTACTCACAGGTGAGGAAACTTGACATTTTGAAACAGCAACACATTTGAGATGATATATATTAATATTTTGTTTCTATCTTCTTGGCTTAATTTATCTTGTTCAATATAGAGAAAACAATAAATTACATTGCCATTTGCTTCTAGCTGCTAATTCTAGTAGAAAAGTTCATTAAGGAAACTGACAGTCTCATGCAGTACTATTTCCAGTCCTCCTTCATGCTCTATTCACAAAAGAATACATATCACTTCAAATATTTAATCACCAAAATTGGGTATTACTGATCCCATATTAAAAATTACTAATAAATATACTAAGTTCATCTTCCAATAAGAGTGTATTGTACAACTGGAACAGAAATTCATGACACCCTGAATCTAACTTGCCTTTTATCAGATAAGATGCTCAACTGCATTGTCTGGAATCATATAATTAGTAGCACAAATTTCATTTCATAGAAGGACCTAAGGAAGGGCTCAAAAAGTTTAAGCAATGCCAATTGTTTCTCTAAGAAATTACTTGAGAACAAAGGAACAAGCTTGTCAGAACCTAATGCCAAAGTAATTACATTTTGTCAAAAATGAAAGAAGCTTCTTTGAAAGAACATAAAAGACAGTATAGCCAACTCTGGGACACTCCCTGTGTCCAGACATTCACATTAAATTTAAGTTTCTATTGCATAGTCTCAACATAAGATCATTTGTGATACTGTAATGTATAATTAACAGAATATGCCATTATTAGTCTCTCTTACAAAGGATGTTCTTTAACAAACTACAGAGGTTTACAGAAGTGTTATTACTTACTGATTGAAAGCAGGAACATAGGTGTATACAGAGCTGCTGCTCAAGTTATAGAGGAAAGGCAAGTGTTTGCCAATGTCTGCTGTTGCCCAGTTGCTGAAGAAGCTGTTCAACAAGCCCTGATCACCTCCTAGAGAATACATAAAACAGTATTACCATAACATGTGTACACTCAGATTTGTATCAAAATTTGGACAGGAGTGAGACGGGGGACTGAGACTGGTGTGTCCATGGGACGCCAACTTGGACTTAAAAACATGGCCATGTGAGCCTGTACAAGTGAATAATACCTGATTCACTCTGATGCAAGTTCAGTGTAAATGAAGTCCTAATGTACCATAAGAAGAAAGGAGTAGTGTTTGGTCTCCCTCAGAGCAGAAGACTGAAAATCAGATGTGTTTCTCTCTCTTAAGCCAGACAGCAAAATTCAAACTAATCGAGCAAGGTTCAGACACAATGTCCCTTCACAATGTCCCTGCCGTTTTCTGGGAAACACAGTCCAGAGTAAGTCAGCAGGTCTTAAATACAGTCTAAGAGGCAAAGTTCTGCATTTTGAATTCCTACATAAAGCCCAGAGAACTCCTGCCCTCCTCTATTCTGCCTGATAGCATGGAAACTGTCTCGCACTTCATTCCTTCTGCCTTGCCCCTCACCATCAAAGCTGCCGTGCTCAGCAGCAAACTGGAGCAGCAGGTTGTAAGTCTTCAGGGAGGGCTGGAACACAAACACACCACTATTGAAGCAGTCAGGCCAGCCAGAATCAGGAGCTGCAGAAAACTCTTCTCGATCAAACAGCTCATCAACATTGCAAAGTACCTTATGGAGAGTAGGAAAAGAGGAAAAAAATGTTAGAATAAATGTGTGTCTAGAGCAAGAATTGTCAAATTAGTACCAATGGAGTAAATTGACAGTTTGGCCTAGTACATGGCTTGCAGAGTGTAAAAGCAGTGCCATTTTAAAAGGCAGAGGTCAGAACCTCTATTTTTGATATAATAAGGGAACAATAATTGTGATTCTCCACTATTTCTCTGATAAAATGCAAAGCCTGTGAAATTATTTCATGAATAATCAAGGTCCCTTTAAATATTATACCATGAAAACACACAATTTCCTTCTTTCTTAACTCACCATTCCATAGTCCATTATTTTTGATAACTACAACAGAACTAAATGAAAATTGGGAATCTAAATCATTTTAGTAAGCAACAGACTACCTAAAGGGTAGTAGAAAAACTGTCTCTTCCTGCCAGTTTTCTGATGTAACCTAAGTTCAGAGATTTGCTTTTCTGTTTTCTTTTAAGCTTCACAAGGAAGTGGGAAAATCAATGAGGTTAAGGTAGAGATAAAGTTTGTGGAAAGACAGCTGTGCAGTTAGTGAAAGTCAGGACCCCCACCTTTCACAGCCACTGTGAAAAACAGAAGAAAATTTTTTACAAGTAAAATTACTCAATTGAATTTTTAAAAAAGACAAAAATTCGCCTTCCTCCTTTAACATTAATGTAAAGCAAGAAATCATAAGCCTTCCTCCTCAAGAAGAATAACTTAATTTGGTTTCTAATTCAAATAACAATCCTATTAAATTAAAACGAATCCCAGTCTTTCAGAGTGAGCCATGAAAGCACAAAGGAAGGCTGACATGATTGTTCTCACCAAAATTATCTCTATACATCTAAAAACTTAAAAAAAAAAGCCTGGAATTTCTTTTTTTCTTATTTTAAAACCACTTGCCTTCCTGACAGAGTAATTCCAAAAAAAAGTACATAAGAGAGATCTATTTTAAACTTGTGTCAGAAGACTCAGTACATAGAATGTGTGATTTCTTTTGAGGACAGTCCTGAGGCTACTCTCCAAACTGAATTTATTTTTATGCAGCCAGCAGAACTGTGAGAATTGCTAAAACGTGCCAGGATGGATCTCCTGTGACCCTGTGACCGCCAGCAAATCTGGTCACTTCACAGGCCTGAAGGCTGCCTGGCAAAGAAGCATCCCACAATCAGAGACAGACACAAATGTTTCCATGGCTCCCTCTCCATTCACCAAAGTGTCTGCATCCATGAAGACACATTTGCTGTAATGAGTAAGTGTCCAACAATGAAGCTTAGTGAAGGTTACACCCAGTTCTGGCCTCTGCATCAGAGCCAAATGGACTGAGTCAGCGCTGTCAAGCACATCCACCTCGATCACTTCATCAAATACGCTGCTGAGGACTGACCTACAGAGAGAGCAGTGGAGAGAAAGAGGGGGATTTAGACAAGTTCATCAGAGTTCACTTCAGGCGTGAGAACAGCGACACACAGCATCACATTAATTATGACAATAACCAAAGCTAGATTGATTGCTTGGAGTAAGAAGTCAGAAGCGAAGAGTCTTTGGAAACAGCCTACTGAAGAGGCAGCTATCAGGCCATAAAACATTGTCTTCTTCACTATGGGGACCAGCACATCTCAAAAGTGAGAGCTGCTGCTTGAAGGAAAAAATAATCCTTAGTCTAGTCATTTCTCTCCTATGGAAACACCAACAGAAATTAAAGCAGCTTTCATCCTACATAATTGATTCCAAAGAACAGCACCATACTGTGCCCACTCTGCATTTTACAGGTTGAGACACGCACTGCCAGCACACTGATTTGTACCTACTGTGACCAAGTAAATACTGCTTCAAAACTGCACCTTTTATAAGATTCATATATAGTTCCTCACTACTATGTAGCATCTGAAATGAGACTTTTAGCTAAACATTTTTTTTCTATGCATTCCTGTTTTCTATACAGGAATTCTATAGATAACACCAAAGTAGGTAATTTTCCTGCAAGAAGCAAGAAGAAGAAAACACAGCTTATTTACTTACACGACACTATTATAATCAAAGTCCTCAATGCCCACAAACACAGGAAAAGAAAATCTGTGCTGTTTGAAGGCTAGATTTCAGGGTCACTAGCTTTTGCCTGATTGATCTTCAAGGAACAGGAACTAACTGGCAAAGAACTAAATGAAGTACAGATTATTACAAGTTTAATTCAGGAAGCAGCATTTTTTTAAATGTTATCCCTGATTTAAAATATATATTAGAAATGTTTTTCTTGCCACTGAATTGGCATGACAAGAATTACAGATTTAACATCAACCCATGAATCAAATGGATTCCCTCAGGAGTGGGAATCCATTTGATGCATGCGTTACAGTGTTTTGACAATGCCCATACTTCAAAAGTCTGTAAAAACAGATTTTTGTACATCCAGTCATAGCTAAAATGTGAAAATATATTTCTTGAGACAGATACATTGCAAATACATTCACACAGCATACAGAAAACAGGAGCTTGCACACTTCCTAAGACATAGCAGAACTAAGAGTTTAAGCTCCTATGGCACGGCATGCCTTTCAACAAGTGTCACAGTCCTCCAAATAACAGGGCTTGAACTCAGACTTAAGATTTCTGTAAATGCTCTTCTGCAGTGCCTGTAGAATCACAACACAATTGCAAAGTGATTTATATAGAAAAAGCAAGAAGAAACTAACTTCTTATCAAAAGAGCTGTGCACCAATATTTTAAGAACATTAATCATGTGAAACTGAACCCTTAGGTTTATAGAGAGTTCTGATGCCACAGGTGGTTACGTATCTCGCTCTAAGACAGAAAAAATTGGAGGAAACACAACAGTAGTGCAAGACACTAAAACCTTAGTTCCCAATTTTCAGCTCCTCAATTATAAGACAAATTCCAGCCACAAACTCTACTTCTGGAAGTGAATTCTTAGCACACTTAGGAGCTTATAATGAATGTTATTTGAGACTTCTCTTAGAACTCACTAGCCAAGAGGGAAGTTCTAGGCATAATGCTGTGAAATCCACAGAAATCTATTAAAATCTTTCATGCTGTTGCTTATTCTTCCACTATTTAAGTCTCCAAATGGACATTAATACTTACCTCATCCCACTGGAAACCTCTGGAGTAATTAGAACTGCCAGTTTTCTGGATGTCTTATGATTCCTCAATGACTGTCCAAGAACAAGAGCACCTTGACAGTACACATCATCAGTAGCAAGGGTCACAAAGGCTTGATCTGTTACTGCAAAAAGATATTCAGAAGAGTCATTTTACAACTTTAATAAGTAAAGCCCTTTTAGCTTGCTCCCTCCTCTTCCAGATAAACAATAATCTGTGGATTATAACAACCACATTGAGATTATAACAACCATTCCTGTAATGAGACTCCCCCCAAAAGTCACAACTGAATATAAAACCCAGCAAATGTGAGTGCAGAATGTATGTTTCTGATTTTTATTATTTTTGTTTGCCTGATTTACACAATAGCAGGTATAAAATTTTTGCACTAGCCTTAAACAAATAATTCCCTAGGTCTCATTGCCAAAACACAATGTCAATCAAAAAAAGCTGATCTGTACATATTTAGATTTTATATTTAACAAACATAGTATAATACAGCCAATAAGGAAGGTGCTCTTGTTTATACAGTGCTGAAAGCTAAGAAAAAGAACAAGATGTTGAGTATTAGCCAGAAGTGTTCTTTCCATAATGCCACTGAATCAACCCAACATTATTTTTGCTCTGCCTTCTTTGTACTGGGGTACCTGGTGCTGGCTGAACAAGTGCAGAGAAATTCCTAACAAGATCAGTGCACCTCCCAGAAGCTGAGAATCCCTACCTCAAGTAACTCCAGGGAATTTACGAGTGTTCCTTATTGTCAGGAAACACATGAGGAAACAAGTTACAATAAAAAAGAAAGCAACCTACATTCCTGCATAACAGGAGGAACTGTATTTTTTAGAGACACCACTCCTGTGGCAGGATCATAAGGGGCTGCTCCTTCAGTTCTGCCCTGTGACATAACCACCACTGTCACAGCTCTTCTGGTGAGAACCTATAACCTAGCAAGGTGAACAGCCTCCTTCGAGCAGAAGGATGATACACTCTAGGCTGCAAAATTAACCAGAACAAGATGAGCAGGTCACACAGATGAAGGGAATTCCACCGAGCTCAACTGAAACTTCAATAAACACTTGTGTTGAAATACTTGTTTAGAACCACCATCATCTTAAGGGACAGGCAATTGCATTAAATAAATTAAAACAACCAAACAATACCAACATAAACAACCTGTCATACAGTTTCCAGGGTCTGTGAGAAACACTAGGAAAGAATCTCACAGAACTAGTTGCAGACAACTCAACAAATGATCTCATGGCTGCCTCAGCCAGAGGCTGCCAAAATGAGTGACTTCTAGCCCCTAACCGTCATCGAGGTAGGCAGTAAAGTATGGTTGATGCCTACAATAAGCTAACAGATACTAAGCATTTTTATTTTTCACATCCTCCAAATCCAGAGCAAAACACAGGCCCACTGGTGTGCTGCCTTTTCCCCCCACTGTTTGCCCTCTTTCACTCATCTCCAGCCAGCCAGCTTCATCTCAAGCGCACATACTTTACATTTGCTGACATTCACACACATCCCTGCACCTCAGGAGAATCCCAGTAAGTGCCAGACTTGGTCAAAGAAACCCAAATCATCCATCCAAACTTTAAATAGTTTGCATAGCCCACAGCTGAACAAACTTCAGTAACATTTCTAATTACAATTTCCAGACAAAGCATATGAAGAACTGAACTTTCAAATGTCCCATTATAATAACAGCTTGAGCAAGTTACGTGTGTTCCAGAAATCAGTGAATAAGGAGCTGCTTTAAAACAACAGATGTGAAGTAAACTGCTCCTACTGCAGTTTCCCAGAGGGTTAAAGGAGTAAATATAAGCATCCCTAAAAACCAATGTAAACCAGAAAACCGCTGAAGGCTACTTCAGCAAGAAAATTACTCTGAAAAGATGCAAAAGTTCAGGAAAGCAAAGCAGTTTGTGTTAGGCAACAAGCATCTTCAGCCAAAGAAAGGTAATAAAACAACTACTGAGAGGAATGTGGGAGTTAGGTTAATATTAAAAACAAAAAAAAAACCAAAAAAAACCCCCAAATTATGAAATGAGTGGGAATTCCAATCTTAAAATACTGTTTTAAATAACAACCACAAAACTGAACACAAGCTTCACATGGCTTTTGCAAATTCTTTTGGCTACAGAAGCTGACTCTTTACTTAAGTAATACATAGAAAAATACACAAACTACTTATTAAATGGTTCAGCAAACTGGTATGGAAAACTACCACATCCTCCAAATGCTTTTTTGCCCTGTACCCCTGTGGTCATAACCACAAGGAAGCAAACTGCCAAACAACTGCTGCTTCTAAGAAACTGTTGCTGATACCTCACAAGGAACAGAAACTGTTTTGAGAATCAGATGTTGTGGGATACATGTTATGGCCTTCTTAATACAGTAAACCACCATAGAGATAATTGAATAGATAATCAAACTACTGAATGAAAATATTTAACATTGAAATATTTCTGATGCTAAGAGAGATGCAAATCCTAATGACTTTAAAATCATACAGGGGCATCACTAATTCATGAAGGATCCATTGGGAGTTTAAAATAAAAATATTTTATCATTACCTTTCCTTTCATCTAATTGTTGCTTTCAAAAAAGAAGCGTTATTTGACTCGCCTTGATTAGAAAATTCTTTGGAATATAGCCTATTAAGTAAACATTTTATTTTTATAACTGAAAGTAAGGATCAGGTTTTCATATACATTTTGGAAGTAAATGGTTTACCTAAAAGTTTCCCTTTAGCTGAAATCAAAGACAACACATAAATCTGCTGAACACAAGAGTTTAACTCACTGACTTTAAAAGAGCAAATCTTGTTTAAGTTTGAAAGCTAGAGGTGTAGATATTTAAATTCATTGCAAGCATTGTTTGATTTTTGTTTCTTCTTTTTTTGTGGGTTTTTTGTGGTTTTGTTCTTTTTTTTTGGGGGGGGGTTTGGTGATTTTTTTTTGTTTTGTTTTTTGGGTTTTTTTAAGTGTCAAGGAGACTATTAAGCATAACTTTAATTCTTTGTCTGAATAACAGTAAGATTTTTTTTTTAAGGACAACACCTACTGTTAAGGGTATTAAGTTTTCCAGCAAATTGTTTTCAAGCTTTGGATCCTTATGGCTAATACAATACCACTGGTTAGAAGTAAACTATGAGAAAAAAAAAGTGTATTTTCAGAATCCCATTAAAACCCTGTCATATGAATTTATAAATCTGCTAATTTGTCTTGTCTGGATTACCACAAAGCATATGATGATGCAAATTAAGAAATCATTATCATCAGTAGTGGTTCCTCAGTTTTATTACCTAACAATACTTTCTTAGAACTAAACAAGGATCTTTAAGGAATTAACTTGCTGAGTTATTCTAGAACCTGCTCTGCAGCTACACAGAAGAGACAGCAAAAGTAATGTGAACCACTACACTCAGGGTGATCTTATGTGGAAATTGTAACAGCTTTTTGAGCCAAGATCACCAACTTTTTATGCTACTCACTCATAGAAGTAGTACCTTTGACACTGCCAGAGGCAAAATTCTTTGACAGGTGTGGAAACTAATTCCAGGGCTCCTAAAAGCTTTATTTAGAATATGATCAGAGCAAGCAGACAGGGTGGTGCTCACTTTCATGTTCAAAGAGAAAAAGAGGATTAAAAAACACCAGGTACCCATTTTGAGACTCAGGAGTGACTGACAATAACAAGCTGTGAGTTACCCAAGTGCAGTTTCCAACTTCAAGACAAGTTTAAGTAGGGTAGGGAGGCTTTTTTTTCCATAATCCATTAGTACAACTGTTTTCCTAAATTCCTCCCTGGTACCATCTGTTGCTCTCTTGTCACCTCCCCCTTCTACTCCAGAGACAATCTGCAGGATGAGCAGGCTGCAGCCACGACCTGTCCCCATTGAGCCACAGCACCTCTCTGAAATCCCAGGTGACAATGACACAGCTCCAAATCACAGCACGCTTCCTGACACCAATTCTGTTACTCCCTCTCCCGCACAAGGATTCTGTGGATCTTCCCCCAGAAGCACCCTGTGAAGGTGTGTTAGACTGCTAAAAAGAGAACACAAGCTGTAGGCTTCTCACTTCTCTGGCCTACACAGCCATATCCTGGAACAGAAAACTCCGCTCCTCCTCCTGACACCCACAACCTTATAAGCAATCAAGAAGTATTTTGTTGTAATAGATAACATGAACAATAGTGCCAGACAATAACCTGAGTCAGAGCCCTATCAAAAATTACTATACAAGTTTCCAGCAAAGAGGCAGTTCTTGCCCTAGTAAATAAATGAGAGCTGGCAGTTTTAATTATCGTGCTTTCTTAGATCCAATAGTAGAAACATGGATGTTACTAATGAAGATAAACAAGGAGCACTTTACACAGACCTTTTTATAACTGAATTTAAATTGACATTGAATGGCATACAATATTTCTCTTGGCCTAATGAAATTCTGCCTCATCCAAAACCAGTTTCTCCCTTTTACTGAAACAGTACTGAATTTTAGCAGGCAGGATTACTGCTCTTGTGTTGGAAAACCACTTGATTCCAGTTCTTTGTAGCTTTTATTATGTGTCTTTCAGTTAAAAACTGACACATTCTGCTTCAAGACTCTGCAATGTTGTTATTCAACAGATGCTAAATGATCCTCATGAAAACTCAAATGCAACAATATCATAAGATGCAAACAAGCATAACACATAAAACCCAAAACTAGTCCCAAAACAGTAATACACCAGTTTCAATATTAGTAATAATGGTAATAATTATTAGAAATAATTGCTTAAGCAATCCAGAGACAGCATAGGGAACTTTATGGTACATCTCAAGTTAGATGTTTCCAGTCTTTCCACACCTTCCTTTCAACCAAAAGAAAAAAAAAATCAAATTTAAAAAAATCAAAAAAAGCCCAAAACACTGAAACAGAAAAAAGCTCCTCAACCAAATGAAACCTCAACGATCTAATCCTTTCATTTGCAGATTCACTTTCTGCATCTTCCCAGTGCTGGAGTGCCACATACATGAATGCAAACTTGGCATCATGCAAGTCCAGATGACTGACACCCTTCAAATGGTTCAATAAACCAAGATTTGTGGAAGCTGCTGCTCTCAAAAACGAGAAAAGGAAAAAATTGAGTATGTTCAAGAACCGGAACCTGCACCTATCCCTAAAACCAGTACCTCATGGGTTTAAGGATAACTAAGACGAATACCACTGCTTTGTAGAAGGGGCATGAGAAAGCTTTCTCTGAATCTGCCTTAGACTGAGACAGCCAGCCCCAGCCTGTCACCCTGGGGATCCACCAGGAAAGCACGCAGAGACCTAAGCAGGCCAAGCTGTACATACAAGCAGAATACATAAATGAGTTCGCCTATTTCACCCCATCACCCAGACAGTTAAAATCTTCCTCTGGAGCCGCTCATTACAGCACAGCACTCCGCTGATAAGAAAGCAGCAGAGACCCTCTGCCGCACCGGGATGTGAGAAGGGCAAAAGCCCCGGCGGGCTCCGGGCTGCGCTGCCGATCGTTCCCGAGAGGCGCTCACGGCAAGCCGGGCGGGTGCTGCGGGACGGGGGTACTCACCCGACATGCTGGGCAGGGCAGGGCTGGGCTGGGCAGGGCTCGGTCCGCGGTGCCCACCGCTCCTGCCGCCTCACCTGCGGGCGGGGGGGCCGCTAAACCGCACAATGGGATTAACCTCCTTCCTGCTGGAGGCAGTGGCAGGTGAATTACATTCGCAGGGACTCCTGCGCAGCGGCACAGGAAAGGCATTAGCGGCAGAGACCATGGCGGGGGGGCTGGCACGACCCACCCCGCCCCCGCTCCGGGCGCTGCTTTGCTGGGAGAGGGGCGCGCCCCGACCCTACGGCGCTCCCGCCGCCCGGAGCCCGGCCCGGCCCCTCAGCCCGGAGCACGGCCCTGCCCTTAGCCCGACACGGTCACGGTCCGGAGCCCGGCCCGGCCGTGCAGCCCCTCAGCTGTCCCGCTCCGGGCGCGGCGCTCCCGCTCCATTGGCCGCCTCGCGGCTGCGACCACCCCGGGATGGGAGAGACCCTCGCTCCCCTTCCTCCGGTTCCCTTCCGTCCCGTTCCACCCCCTGCCCGATGCTCTGGGTGCCCTCCGGGTCTCAGGCGCCGCGACAAAGCTTCCCTGTCACGCACACGTCTGTGTAGAAACCGAGAGGAAGGGACACAGGTTGGGGAGACTCCGCCACGCAGCGCCCAGAGAAAAACAAACACCAACCTCTGTGATGGTGAAGGTGGAAAACACCAAGGTTTGTGATGGTGGAGGTGGCAGAGCATGGAAAAAGGTCTCAGAGCATGAGTAGGGTGATTCCAGCGTGGCATGTGGTCACACATACACGGGGATTCACCGTGAATGAAGGGGGTTTACCCCTAACTCCCTGGGGCCGCCGTATCCCCTACAGATACTCACGGTCTGATAACTTGTCTCCCAGATAAGAAGGAGATGTTTTCAGTGTCAGGAAGCTCATGTTATCCAGAGGGCTGTAAATATTTTCACAAGTGCATAAATAAATGCACATTTTCTTGAACAGCACGCTTTTGCTACTAGCCTAGAAGTCATGTAATTGTCATGTAATTCAGCCATACAATGTCTCTGCAAGGTAATTTTAGGCTGATATGGTTCAGCTGAGGTATTTTTGTTTCAAAATGTGCTGTGAACATCAATATCTATGTAGCAGAGGTAAACAACTTTCAGGTAGTGTGCCACTGAAAAAACTGCCTAGTGGTACCACTCAACTATTTAAAACTTTATTTCCAACAATTTGCAAGAGATCTCTGTTGCCACTCCAAGCTGCAGCATTTGTTCTCTCGCACCCTGGAAGAATCCCAAAGGTCCACCTCAGAAGAGGGTGTCATTGCTCTGTAGTAATGGTGAAGTGTGTGAAGGAAAGAAGGATGGACATAAACGCATAGGAAATTGAGTTTTATTTGTCCCACAGAAACAAAATCATCAGGGATCTGTGTTCATCATTGACTTACATAGACAAATCAACTAGACAACATAGTTATCAGTACCATGACTACTGTTGTAGATAATTTTACTGGCAGATTTATTTCACTCGGGGGACTTGAAGATTAAGAAAAGTTTCTCCTTGGTAAATAAAAGTGATGTCTATATTTAAATGATAATATCTTTTATGCCAGCAACTTTTTTTATGGTATAGAATACATTTTAAGTATCAGAGCCAGTAACACAAGCTAGAGTTCCATGTTCTAACAGCCAGTTAATCATTCCTCCCTTCCTTCCTCCCTTCCTTCCTCCCTTCTTTGGTTCCCTTCCTTCCTAAAATTAAATACACTAGAGCTTCCCTACATAACCCCTCAATTACCTGAAATGATGATACTAGAAATAGTTAATACAATCATTATAAATTTGTATTTACCATCATCATCATTCTGGTTAAAAGGGAAATTGACACCTAAAAGTGCATCTGCACACTGGTATATTGATGTACTGGTATATGCTGAAAAATAAGACCAAAGAGCTTCAGAGGGTCAAACACTTGGGTAGTCAGGGTTTATCCATTGAGATTCTTGGGTTTCGCTCAAATTCTCCAAAATAAATCTGGTTTTGTGCTATTAATATAAACACAAGTAATAAATTATTTTGAAAATATTATGAACAATTTAAAATAAGTTGTTATAGTATAGCAAAACCAAAAATGTTGCACATAGGTCCTTCTCTAGACACTTAGTAAAATAAAAAAATAAAAAAAAAGAGAGGAAAAAAAGAATAGATAGTTAAGCGGGTTTGATTATTTTGTTGGGTTTTTTTTTCCTGTATTATTCCTTTAGTTTGAAGCATTTCCTTCTTTTCCCTAGTGGGCCATATTTGAACTTTTATACAGAAGGTATCAACCCTCATATGTCCCAGAAAGTAGCAAAGAAAACAAACAAGACCTGGGTCATTTTAGATAAAACACAGAAGGTGTTTATTGAAAATTTAAAATTTTGAAGAGAAAGAAGCAAAATATTTATTTTCATGGTTGAACAAACAACTGAAGTTGTAGCACCAAAACACTTGTCATTTCATTAATCAAATCTTTATGTCTGTCTGACAAAATATACATCAATCTGTTTTAACTCTTAACATGGAAAATTAATATTTTAAAAGAAATATTAAATGTCCTTGAAAACTATATTAAAAATATTTTCTCATTTATAAGTTGAAAGTGATAGACACAAAGGTGTTCATTTGTTTGTGTGTTGTCAAGATGTTTCTATGTTTAAAATGTACATTATCATTTCTTTCAGGATCAAAAAAAAAAAGTGCTAGTCTAAGCAAGCAACTGATATATATAAATTTAAAATATTATTCAGATAATTAATATTTTATTATATGAAAAATTAATTTTAATATATGTCTTCCTCTCAATGATGTAATAAACACAAAATCATATTCATCTCCATATAAGTGGAATTGCAGTAACGAAAACCATGCTTTGCATATAAAATGAAGATAAAACCATACCAATTTCCTTATGCTTTAAAAAGTTAGTTAAAATGCCTCTATTACAGAATTATGTCAGTAAACTGCTAGTTTTGCCAACTTTCATCTGTATTTCATTCACTTGCTGTTTTTTTGATCCAGTTAGCTAAATGAAGGAAGAGACAGGAAAGGTGTCAATTTTCATTACAGGTTTGTCTACATGAGGACATTGTTAGCACTGCAAGGTCCATCAGGAATGAGGGAAAGAAGTGAAACAGTCTAGCTAGAAAACCTATATCAACCATACCTCCACATAGTATGAAGTTGAAAAGTCTTTGTGACTTAGATTTTAGAGATTAAAGCATCACAAACTCATTCTAAATGAATCAGAAAAATCTTTGTACCCATTTTCCCTTTTCACAAGTTATGAATAATGTGGGGGTTTTTTTTTAGAAAACCCATCTTTCTAGATTGGTGCCTTCAAAGGTTCCTAAAGTCAGGCCTAAGTTTTCAAGAGCAGAAATGAGACTCATGTAAAATTCTGGTTCCTGAGAAGAGCTAAATACCAGTTTAGTAATTAATCAATAAAATAAATAAATAAATAAAATTAGAATGTATTCCTCTCTGTTTTATTTTAAACAGTGGTTTGTCAATATACATAATATTTTCAGTGTATTATAAAATCAAGAATGAATTTTCTAGCTACAGCTCCTTTCACTTTGCTAAAATTCAGACACAAACACAAAGTAAACGTATTCAAATTTTTAATCCTTTAGACAACTACAAATTTTCTTTAAACACAGTAAACATTACAGGAATATACTGGAGAAACCCAACAGGTGTGAAAGGAAATGGCATACTCCTTATTCCTATTCTATCAGAAGGACTGAGTTTTTTGGCTAATTTTGAAAACAGAAAAAAAAAATATTTGGCGACTCAAATCCTCACAAACACAAATCCTTCAACCTTTAGCTTATATCACACTTGATTTCTTTGTTGTTTATGATAACTTCTGAGTCAAAATCTGTATTCAGCCTTTATGAATGCAGGTCAGAGAGTGCAATACAATCCCTGGATGTCTTAAGCATATTTTTGATGACATAAAGTTCGAGGTGCAAAAGTGACATCAGGTTAGAGAGAGCAGGATTACAACGTCTCAGTAAAACATTCATTAGAGGAAGATTTTCTTCTGTCAGAATGGCAGTGTAGAATGTCACCAACCAAAGGAGCCTGTGATCAGACAGCAACTCTTCTTTCAGTGCTTTACACTGCAGCCCCACCTGAAAAATGAAAATTGAACATTCAGTGCTTCCGCTGTGGGTGTTCTTTGCCAGCTTTCTGAGGCTGATCTGGGCCACCCTGGCTGGTTTCCACACACAGAACCAAAACTGCCAGGCACCTCTGTGCTGGCAGAGACAATTGTTTGTCAAGGTCCCATCAACTTCAGCACTAAATCAGTGGAAAATTGTTTGGGCCTTACCACGTGGTTTGAAACAAAGTTTCTTATTCTTGTAAGCGGTGTAAGCTGCTATTGATCCAACAACCAGTATCACAAAAGCAGAAATTACAGGAGATGTAACTCCAGCTATTAAACCAGAATCTGTGGAAAAAGAAAGAGAAGGGGCTTTTTTTTTTTTTTTCAAAGGCACTTAAATGGTTTGTCTTAAGTATATTGCCTACTAAAGCATGCCTTTACCAAATTAGGAAAATAGTTTGGTGAAACTACGGAATTAAGAAGATGAACAAAAATTGTGTAATATTACAGATTATGTGAAAATTATGCCTTAAAGCCTAATTTATTATATCTGCTACGTTGTAAGGTTATCACTGTTTTAGTATTTTATAAAGATCAGAAGTCAATTGCAGAATAATGTAAATTATTTACTATACCTGTGTTCCCTCCATGATTGAAATGATGCTGCTCGTCTCCTGGAATAGAGGGTGAAGCTTCATCAAAGAAATGCTTGTCATCCTGTTTTGGGAACTAAGTCTTTACTCAGCGAAGCGTGATGCACAAAGGGCAAAAGGGGTGGCCCAACAAGACTGCAGCAGAGAGCTCCCCTTCTACTCCCCACTGATGGCTGTGCTGGCCAGAGGAATAACTCCTCATCCTCTTGAAACTTCCTTTTTTGGGGAAGAATGTTATTATCTAATAGAAGGACCATTTGTAACAGGCTACGTGGAGCTGATTTCACAGGGAGGCCAGTATAGTCTATCTCTTCTCTGCTGCCAGATAATCAGATAATTTACAAGTAGTTTACACCAAGATCTTAGTCTTGGTCCATCTATTTCAGCATGCCCCTTGCTTTTGGACTTTTCTTGCTGAATTCAAAGGGGTAAAACCTGCAGGCTCCTGGCATATGCTAGAATGCTAAAAAATGTTTTGGCATATGTTTCAAATTGTAGCTTCAGGCTCAAAACTATGGCTTTTTGTGAAGGACAACTAACCTAAATAAAAGTACCAGAGTCTGGTCCTATACCTTCAGAGACAAACAGACTACCACTAAACCAAAACCATCCAGAGTTGGTCTATACCTTCAGTTTAGAGGTATTAGGAACACGTTGCAAGGGAAACAGGAAAATGTTACCTGGTGGTAAAGGCTTTCCATCGAGGAGATCTGAATCATCAAAACCTCCTGCAAGATAAAGTTTCCAGTTGCAAAATTATATACAATGATAACCCCTTCAGCTCCTTGTCCACTCCTTTTGTAGTGCTCTGGGAGAGGTGAGGGACCTTTGAAATCCCAGCTGCGATGTGGTGGGTCACATGGGTCACATGTCTTACACTGAACAGTCACCTACCAAAATTCACCTGAAAGCTGAAGCACTGACACTATTGGTGTCTATGTATTCTGTGTCTGTTTTGGGCACTTGTGGGAAGTGTGGGCTTGGGTTCTCAGTAACACAAATCCTTATATAATATGGACATCTTGAGTCCCAGTGATCCCTGAAGCAGAGAGTCAGTGGGTCCTTTCCAGGAAAGACTCCAGAAGGACTTATCCATGGCTCACCACTACAGCCATACCCAAAGTAAGTGCAGGGACAGGGTGAAAGCCAGAATAGATATGCCACATTTACTTTATCTAAGCAAGTATCTGGAACCAAACTCAAAAGCAATACAGGCTGCCCAGCCCCATCTTCTGTATGCCCTAGGGCCATCTCAGATGCACACCTCAAATTGATTTGAGCACAGGTTTATCCCTGCCCTGTGGCTAGATGTCAAATTTGAGCCTTTGCATAGTTCAGTGTATACACACCCAAAATGAAAACACAAACAAGATTAGATGTTAGTCTCATGCCACTTAAGATGCAGTGTCCCACATTTTTAACAAACTGAAAAATTTTATGATATCAACACTAACATTCAGAAAAAGCTTTCTCACCTCTGGGCCAGAAACAGTGACTACAAAAGGAAGATATGGGAAAAGGATGATAAATGCTGTTACTAGAGAAGTAAGAGACTAAAGTATTCAAAATGTCTGCTCTGAACAGCTGATAGCACTACATTTTCTTATGAGCAAGTAGTCTTACCAGAATTACCATAACTTCCTGGGCGTGGTGGAAGAGGTGGGTATAAAGGTTTTCTTGAGATGTCACCTATTGATAATTAATATTGTTAGATAATTGAACAGGCAAAACTGGGAACTGTAAATAAAAATATTTTATACCTATTTCTAATTTGTCCTCCCATGAATTAATAAAAGGACCTTGTCAGTAGTTAAGAAGATTTAAGCACTATATCAACAAATAGCTAGCTGTAAAAACTGACTTGGAAGTGAACAGGGAATATTTTTGAAAGAAGATAAGAATTTGCAAGAAACATCGAGGGAAAATATTTTATGTATATCTGGCAAGTGCCAACATTGATTAAAGCTGACAGCCAGGAGGCACCATGTGTCAGTCACTGTGGGTGTCAGTGGTGCAGTTATTCAGAGCCAACAGAGAAGCTTGTGTTCCAGGCTGGGCAGGAGGCAACAGGTTATCTCATTGCCATCAGCAGGATTTAATAAGGCCAGCAGATTAATTTCATCTAACAGATGATGAATTTATCTTATGCAAAATGAATTTCCTGCTCTTGAACAGTGCAAAATGATCTCAGACTTCAGCTTTGCTGTTGTTTAGGACTTTGTGCTAGCATTGAGCCTTAATTTTTTGCCAAAGGATTAGAAAGAGATGCATTGGATAGAGCAGGAGATCTAATGACTAAAAGCAGTTTCCGAGCTGCATACACAATGCTGAAGAGCTCACTCAGGTCAAAGCCTGCCAAATTTAACATCTGGGGTTGCTGCTCTGTGTGTATAGTCAGTTTTCTCTTGCCACCCTTTACTCAACCAATTCAATCAGGTATTCAACTGTTCTTAAAAATGACAGACAGTGTATTTTTCTCTGCATAAATCAAAATTAGGTCACAGAAATAAATAGCAATTTCCCTCCCTCTCTTTAAATCTTTCACCTTCCAAACATGCCAGAAGCTCTTTTGCTATGTTTTCTTCTTGCCTAGCTACTAAATACAATGCTTCTGTTTCTGAGCACCATTTAGGTTCTGATCCAGAAAATTACTTTGATATATCCTTAACCTCAAGTGAGTTTAGCCTACAGCCAATGGATTTTAGGTATAGGCATAAAGCTTTGCTGAATCTGATTTTGCCCAGTTAACTATATTCAGCAGAGGAAGGACTTGCTCTGTTCTAGCTCTGTGTAATGAACTAAGACTCACCGTGGCACAAAAGCAGAAAACCAAAAATCCCACTTTTAATTTCTATCATGATGCTGCACTTAGTCCTCTCTAAGCATAAGAAGACATATTGTATGGCATAGCTGGTGAAAAAATAATGTCTTCAAAAATACTAATAACGAGATACATAACTTTAACCTTATTATACCATGTATGAAGGTCAATTAAAAAACTGAACTGAAAATGGAACAAGGAAATAAAAACCAGTGGAAATACAATTTTCCATCCTTGGAATGAAAAGATTTGGTTTAGTTAAGGTACTTAAGCTATTAATTCATACTTCAGTCAATATATTTAACCTATCCTCTCATAACACTACTCAATAAAAGCTTGCAGGAATGGAAGAATTACTACAGGGACAAATAAATTAAATTATAAACATGGGAATTATTAACAACATTAGATCCAGCTTTGTAAAATATGAACTAATACATCATTCACACAAAGGCATGAAGTGCCACAGAGGAAGTCAGAAATGGGGAAAAAATCCCAATATAAAAGGACAGTTACTGTCTAAGACTGAAATGTGAGCAAACCAGATCACTGCAGCTGGTTCAGAGATTCTGTGCAATTGGCTGAGAAGTTTCTTTTGTGTGGCTGTTATTAAAGTGGAATTTTAGGCTTTGCAGTAATCATTGTATTTTGGGTATCAGCAGTATTCAAGAACCTTTCTAGAGTACTTCACATCTCTAGACACATTCATTAAAATTTGATGTACATATTCCCAGCCTCGAGGATTTCATATGTCTGCACAGCTCAGTACAGTACTGTGAATACTTCCGAGGTCAGGTCTGAGTGTTATGGGAATATCTGGAAGTTAACAGCATGTTACAACATCTTGACTGCTTCAAGCTTAAGCTGTATTCACCAGTGCTCATCTCTGAAACATTCCTTTTGAATTTCTAATTTGCCATCAGCAGAAGTACGAGAAGCTCAAACCTCCCCATCCAGTGTTACCTCTGATTCCTAATCTTAGACAGGCTCATTTTTGGTCACTGAAGAAACTACAGCCATCACCTTCTTCAGGCTCCTGTCAGAGGACTCCCCTGAGCCACACAAGTGAATGGGTGAGGTTTGCTCTCCCCAGCCACGCCTGGGGTGCTCTGCCATGGTACAGCAAGCCCCAGCTCCCTTCAGTTCATGCAAGGCAGGGCAGCTGGAGGCTCTCAAAGGTAGCTGTGAGCAGGTGCTGTCCCCACCCTGCGTGACAGCCTCAGGCAGAAGGGCTGCCTGTACATGAGTTGTAATAACTCTCATCACCATAGCACCTCCTGCAGAACTGAAATATTTTTTAAAAATTAGGCAGAGTTCAGGAAAAGACTATGAAAGAAAAAAATCCCCTTGTATTCAAGGAAACAAGGCAGTACTCACCCCCACCAAAAGCATCTCCCAAATGCAGATCATTGTCTAAAAATGAATAGGAGGAAGATGTAGAAAAGTGAGTTACATGCAATTCTTGAGGGAAATGAAATGTTATTTTCATTAGAACATGTACAACTGCATGTTTGACAAGCACCTTTTTCAAGTCAGTGCCACAAATTCAAAAACTAACTTATCACACTTTTCTTGAAAACTCTAATAGACTCTAACATTTTCCAACACACTAATTGACAAATAGCAGGGTATTTTCTACTCAAAATGCAAAGGTTATTTCCTGTTTTAAATGATGTCAAAATAAATCTTACAGTTGAAGCAAGATCAATACCTCTTTAATATACCTGCAAGTACAAAAATAAAATTAGCTATGTTATAATATATAACTGTACTCACTTCTAAAATATACTTAATTATTAACATTTATGTCTGTGGTTAAAATTTGTATTTGTATTTTTGGCTCAAGTGTAATTTATTGAACTACAAAAACTGAATATCCATTTCAAGAGCAAATACTAGGGAGCAATAAACCTTCTTGGGGAGATATTGAATCAAATATCTATGTAAGGGTCACGATGACCCCTTCCTTCAGGCAATCATATGCACCTGCCTGAGGTTGGGAGATAGTCTGTTTTTATTTGCTTGAGCTGTGAAGGTTTTTAGATAGAATTAAATGTCTGTATGCAAAAGTTACCCAGTAAACCACCAGGCTGTGACCATTGCCCAGCACCGTACATGTGTCTCGCTGTTGCTGGGATGGAATCTTTCCATGCAATAAACAATTTGTCCATGAGCTGCAGATGGATAAGGAGGAACTCTGTTTCTAACACGCAGGTGTGGCTGTGAGTGAGTGGGTGATATTTAAGGTGTGTATGGAATGATGGTGAGTTCTGAAAGCATATATTAGATGGATGCTTTAACTGCAAGAATCCCTTTCTTGACCCTTATATGCATAGAGTGGTACAGTGTGTCAGAAGAAAAGGGATAGCAAAACCTATCTAAATTTTGGTAACAATGCTTGCTGCCACAGACAACTAGATAGATTCTCAATTAAACAATTTTATTTTTTAATTATAGATGTGACAGGATTCCTGAAACACAGGAAAATCACCATGCAGAAATCTCTTTTCTTCTGTTCTTTATACCTATGAGGATTGGGAAGCTGCTTTTGCACAGTATCTCATCTCATTTAGGTAACAACTTAGAAATGCTTTGATGTCACCAGGAAATCTGGCAGGAAAATAAAAAAATTCGTAATACATGACTTGGTTTGCCCTTGTCAGGTATAGGTCCTCCCTGTGTCTGCCCAGCAGAGCTGCATTTCAAAAATACCTTTACCTGTCAAATGTTAAAACTGTAAGAAGCAATAAATTGAAAACTGGATTCAATTTATTATTGACATGAAGAATTCAGGTAAAATGCAAGTTCTGCTCTGGAGGGTTCATGTAGAGATTTGTTGCAGAAATGCTCGGGTTGATATGAATGAAATAAAAATGGAAATGCATATGTGTGTTGGGATCAGAAAAAACAACAAAATGTTAAAAGAACAGACTAAAGGTCACTGTTCCCAGCAGTAAAACTGAGGAATGTGTTGTTTCTGTCAAAACCAGCAGGCCTGTGCTCTGATGAGAGCAAAGATGACTTGTCAGCAAAGGAAAAGCAGAAAAGCATTCTAACACCAAAGGTTGCAGCATATCACTACTTTTCTGATGGTCCACCCAGAAAATATATCTGTGCACACAGCCTGTGAACTCCAAACAAGTGAAAAAATGCAGTGGGCAGTAACCTGACCAAGGGTTCAGAGACACTGGAATGAGAAATATTATGAAGCAAAGGACCTCTCTATAATACCTAAATACTCCTAATACTCCTAAAGGATATAAAAGATCTGTGGATTCTGCTTGTCATTTCTGATCAAGAAGAAGCACAGAGACAGGATAAGAGCTCAGCAGCTGGCAAGCTTTGTCTCATGTTGCACACGATGCTCACCAGACCCCCTAAGCACGCACATCTTGGTGCTCATGAGCATGTGGGTGTGAGGCTATGGCTGAATTAAACAGCATTATGGAACAATGTCAGTGGGTAAGTATCAATTTACATTGAGATTTTGTAAATAAAAATTGCCTTCCATTACATTTTGTGATGAATTTTTCTACACTAGGGCAGTGCCAACAGGAGAGCTTCAACTCAGGCAGAGGTGCACGGGGTGCCCAGAGAACACTGCCTGTAACTGGCCTCAGCTGAACAAAAATCTCAGTGAGCCTCACTTCTGAAGGACACATAGAGGAAATCCTAAGTTAAGATGAAGCATTAAGCACCTGCTGGAACATACTTTTGTACCATCTCCCTGCACTTTCCAAATCCAATAGTTGATTTGTAACACTGTGGGCTTGGGTTTTCTAATAACTTTTAATTGTTTTCTTAACTTTCTGCAGTCATCTGTAGTGCTGAAGGAGACTCTGAAATGGTCTGGAAAACATGGAGTTCTTCAGGCCCAAAAATTAGTGAAGTGGATTTGGTTAGGGCAGATATTCATCTGATGTTCATATCTCTAATAGATTTATGAGTACCTAAAAATAAAAATTCCTTTCACCTGACTGATGCAGCTTGAGTGCAGATATTGGCACTCTACGCTACCTTTAAACATGACCAAGGACAAAGTATTTTAGGGACAATTCAAATAACTTGAAATGTTTGCATTAGGAGGGGAACAAATCCACATTTAGTGCAATATTTTAAAATAGACAGATGCTTCTAATCGAGGCCAGACACTTTTTTTTTTTTTTTTTTTTTTTTTGGCCAAATGAAGTGGGACGAAAGAATGCAGCCATTAAAGTATACAATAGCTGCCACTTTCACATAATACTGCCCCTGTTTGTTCAAAGAGGGAGCCAGAGAATTGTGTGGAAAATGTAAATACTTTCATGCACCTAAAATCTTATTTCCAAGTTTGTCCAGAAAAAGACCTGAAGTTGTTGGGTTTTTTTTTTTTAGTCTAGCATTTTCCAAACATTTTGTTTGATAGACAGAAAATTATTCCAGTGCAGTTTAGGTGAAAAAAAAAATCTGTGTTGTCATAAACAGTTCCATCACAAATGCAATTTTTTTTCTTGTTTGGAATTTGGATTTTTTCAACATTAACAAGTGTTCATTGGAATTCATTGTTTTGCATTCTCAGGACTATAGCTCTCCACTGTTCAGAGCCTTTTTTCCTTTCTGACACAGGTGGTTGTAGCAATCAATACGAGATAATATGAACCAAATACATGGTGAGAAGAAAGAATAGCCCCAACTTCATTCAGATTCTTTTCCAACTCTGATATCAAGCATCATGGAGAAATATACAAAAAATAAAGATAATAGGGAAAAAAGGTAGAGGAACAGTTGGCCAATTTTAGCAACAGCTACCCATTGTTAAATTTCCCAGGGAGTTCAGAACAATCTAGAAAAGGATGAAGAAGGCCTTCAGGAAATAAAATACTACCACTGGCCAGCCATGCTTGATTGCCTCACTGGAAGCAGTAAAGACACAGAATTGGTAATTGTCAAAAGAGCACTTATTTTACTTTAAGAAGACAGCTGTTAATCACACATTATCTGTGCTAAAGCACAGCAGCAAATATGTTAAAGAACCTCATGTGAAAGTTTCCTACATATACAAAATCAGTTTTATGGCCCATTATTTATTACTCACTGAACACAGGTCTTGTTGGTCTTCTGATCACTGTAGGTTTCCTGGTAATTATGTCATCTGTTGAATACAATGACATGCCAATAAACATTAACAGCTTCAACTAAACAAAAGCAGGTATGTGCAGATGTAGAGAGCTGCTTTCAATAAATCGTTATGTATCACAGCAGAAGCCAAAAATGAAGGAATATGTTTTCAAATCTAGTTTTCTGTTTGTTTGTTTTAAAGAAGATTTTAATTTTGTTATAGAAACATTGAAATCTAGCATTCTTCAGTTCTGTGTATCTTTAACAGAAGTAGTAGCCAGTTCATATTGCATTCCTCAAGGAAAAAGACTTAAAATTTACTATTAGATGTAAATGCCTTAGTAAAATAAGGATAGAAAATATACATACCAGGGTGATCAAGGGCATCAGCTAAATCAAAATCACCTTGACCTAGAAGGAATGTGACAGAGGACACTAAGTCAGCAGGCAGGTTTCCATGGCCTCCAGACCTGAGGGCTCAGTACAGAAGCAGAACAGCAGTAAGAGGCAAAAGAAAGGCCCATCCAAACAGCAGCAGGCACAGAACAAGCTGTCAGCTGTCATCCCTGCACAGCACAGTCCGAATAACTGTGAGAGATGGGCTCATTTAATCCAAGGAAGTTATTTGTTCAGCTAGGCCAAAGAGAAGCTGCTCTCTCTGTTATCATATTCAACTGCTGTACAAACAGCTCTTTGAAGAGCACAGGTTGCCAGCTAGAGGCACAGGACTATTGCCAGGAGACAGCTGAAAGTAGCATTCAGCATAGTACTTGTGAACCAAAATCATTAGGTGAGAATTTTTAATATCTTCATTATTACTTTACTGGCTCAGCTTAGCAAGCAGCTTTACTGTCAAGCCTGCCTTGTGATCACTTGCAACACAAATCAACTTTTTTTTTTTTAATTCTTACTGTAACATAGGCCATAAGTAAAATATATTAAGATGTGTTTATCTAATTTAGTTTCCTCTAAATGAAAAAAGCTGAAAAGGGCTGTTAGGTGACAACAATATCTTTGAATGTCACAGCAGAGTAATTAGCATCTGTATTTTTGAAATTAGCAGGCAAAGAAAACTGGAAAATATTTTAAATGTATAAACTGAAATAGATGACTTTGAACTGAAAGCACACAATTATTCATGAGTTTTACTTTTAACTCTGCAATCTGCCCCTTTGCTTGTAATATACAGGCTTCATGAAACACATGTTTGGTGAATTTGTATCCACTGGATGGTTTTCATCCAGGGTGGTGCATCATCCTTGTGTTTGCCTTCCAAACATAAGATCAGCCTACGCAAACCCACAAAAAGTCATGACATGCTATGACTTCCCTAAACAGAAATGCATTACTGTGCTCTATCGAGTAAGCCTCAAGCTGCACTTGATCTGCATACATTTATTATCCCTTCTAAAAGGCTTAATACCCAACTGTTCATTAAGGAGTTTTTCTTGGCAAGTCTTGAACACTTCACAGCAAGAAAGGCATCACTGTTCATGTGAAGAAGCTGAGGAACAAAGAGAGGCTGCCCGAGGTTTGTCAGCACAGCAGTGCTCAGGGTTCAGCTCAGCTCCTTCATCTTGACAGGTCCTGTACATTTTCATGGCATTCTTCTCATTAATCACTGTTCCTGAGTAATACCTCTTGCCTGTGTCAAAGAGCTTCCAGAAAGATTAATTATCAGTGGTGAAACACTGTGTGATCCTCAAACAACAGTCAGCACAGGAATATAAAGTAGGAATTTTTTTATTCCCACAAAGATTTTAATGTGTGTCTGCGGACTTAATTATAGATGGGGTCTGATGGAAGAGATAAAACAAGGCTGGGATGCAAAGAAGGAATGGCTTCTTAAGCAAAACTGTCCGAATAAAATATAAAGAAGAATGTGTTTGGTAAGTAAAAACATGTAACGACGTAAGACTTTCCCAGTAACAGTAGCAGAGTGGTAGGTTATCTCTTTATCATTTGATTTGTTCTTGGAGAGTTGCATCATCTGGCCACCTCTCCCTCCTCTGCCCTGGCCCCTCAGCCAGCATTGTCAAGTTCAGTAACTTTTGGATTGGGTCTTCAGGTGGATAATATTAATGGAATCATAGAACCACAGAATGGTTTGTGTTGGAAAGGACCTCAAAGACCATCTATTTCCCACTCTCACTGCCATGGGCATGGACACCTTCCACCAGACCAGATTGTTCACTGACATATTCAACCCTGAACACTTCCAAAGATGGGATATCCATCAACGTCTCTGGACAACATGTTCCAGTGCCTCACCACACTCACAGTAAAAAAACAAGTCTTCCTAGTATCTAATTTAAAACTACTCTCTTTCAATTTAAAGCCATTATTAAAGCCATAATCTGAGGCTCTGACAGGTTTTTAAATATGAATCCATTAAGTACATAAATCTATAAAATAAACAAGTTGCTTCATCAGAAGATATTTTCTGTTTGAGCCTGGAGTGCACCACCAGCCCTCACTGGCCCTGAGCTTCTGCCCATGGGCTTCACCCCAGCCACGGAGCCCTTTGATCTTGATGCAGACATGCTACTATGCACAGGTAGACATCCTGGCATTGCCTTGACTTATATGGTCAAATTATACTTTTCTGAAGCATTTCTTCAGTGCCAGCAGTACAAGCAACATAAGCTTGACAGTTCTTTGATTTCGACCTCTGGCAAAATGCTCATTTTTAATCAGCATCCTGAGTATTGGAAGAGGCTGCCTGACCAGAACCCCATTGCCTCAGGATACCATGATCAGTGGCTAAAACCTCTTCTTGTTGGAGTGAGTCATCAGGAATAATTTCATAACCATAATCAGAATAAGAGTCAGGAGAAATAATTTTGTAATACCAAAGAGCTGCTGGCCAAACCAGCTTCTTTCTTACAGGTCATGACAAGCAGGAACTAACTATAGAAAGCAACTACCATGGTCCTAATGCTGTAAAGAGAATGTGACAAATTCATTTTGTGAAGGAAGACTGTGGAAAACTTTCAGGTAGAATATTTCTTTGAAGTTAGAGAAAAACAAAAATAGAAGGTGGAATCTAATCAGATCATGAAATTCAAGCACAATGATCCAGATGCTTTCAATTGCATGAGAACTGTAGCAAATGAGAACTGAAACATTTACTGACACCTGCCCTTCTTCTGGACAATGCCAACATTTCCCTCTCCTATTGTTATGTCTATTCTGTTATGGAAAAGGCGTGAAAAGGCAAAAGGTGCTGTTTTGAGACTTCAAGGGAGAAAGAGAATAAAGCTATAGAAATTTTGGAAAGAGAAAAAAAAAAGACTGAAAACCTCCTTCAGAAATTATTCAGATTGATTTTTAAAAACATTATTTCTGGTGATTAACCAAGCAATAAAAAGAAAAGGACATCAACGCAGAATGACTGCCTGAGAGTAAGACAGGAGTCCACAGTGAAATCTCTTTGACTATGTAAACATAAACCTTGGCAGATGGGCAGTTTGTATGAGGACATCTGTGCAGCATGGTAAATTACACTGCAATAAACCTAAAGACTGCTTGGATTTCAATGCCAGCTTCCTCTGATAATAACATCAGATGACCACAAGGAGTAAGATTCTGTGAAGCAGAATTTTAAATGCTAATTACCATTCCTGAGACTGTACCTAGACATTTTTTAAGAACCTAATTTAAGGAGGATAGTTGGTTAAATAGCTGAACAGGTCAGAGTTTATATAGAACATGGTCAGTCTAGAAACAAAACCACGTTAGAGTCTCAGAAAATATTTGCTCCTAATAGGAGCTGCAGTCACTTCAGAGAACTCTGAAGATAAATGACAAAAGAAATAAATTAGTGAAGCTCTCCACAGAAAAAAACAGACTGAAATAAATTAATTTTACTCTTTTTTTTTTTTTATCAGCTTCCATAAAAGAAAGAGTTGGATATATACTGATGATAACAAGAATGAAAAAAAAAAAATTAGTGGGGCAGAAAGAATTCCACTGGTTTTTTTTTTTTTAATTGGTTGGGTTTTGTGTTTGTTGCTGTTGGCTTTGTTGTTTGTTTTAATCTGGATAAAGTTGTGAAGAGATTTAGCTGTGCAGGTGGTATTATCTCAGAGTTATCTCTGCTATTGCTGCTTTCAGGCTAGTATGCTATTTCTTGGCATTACTTCTAACCTTTCTTCTGGGAGTACCCCTGTTTTGACAAAGAAATAAAATTACTGTAATAATGTTTTCTGTGGGTGGTCCTCAATGACTTAGAGAATTTGAGAAAATGCTTGCAAACTCATGTCCTCGGGCACATCTGCATTTAGTGTTCACAAATTTTGAATATTAGTTTTCTGAAAATATGACCCAAATATCCAGTCACTAAAATGCAGACAGTAGCATCTTTTGTCCATGGTTTAATTTTTTATCTAAATGTTGAATGGGGCCACCACCCTTTAACCATGTATCTGTGTGATCACAAGGGTCTGAGGTCCTACAGCTTTTGAGTTGAATTTATGAGAAACAAATCTGGATTCTGCAGGTGAGTGTTACCAGTTTGTCACGACAACAGCAGTCAAGTTTTCTGACAAAAGGCTACCACGACATCACTCTGCAATTTTCAATCTCCAGTTGAACACAGCTTGTGGCCCTTAAAATGATGCAGATTTAAATAAGGCAGAAATTAATATTTCTAAGTGAGAATCAGGTTAAGTGACAAATGAAATTAACTTCTCAGGCTTTTAATATTCCTAGTCTAGTATTAAAAAGTAAACTAAAATCCATGAGAAAATGTGTTTGTACAAGTTTCTGGACACACACCTAAAATCCATAGATGTGCATTGTGTTAGATAAATAATTTTGTCATTAAGATTATTAAATTAATTGGTTTTGGGTGCATTGCTAGTTGTCATATGGTAGGGATGAGTTTATGTGTGTGACAAATAAATTAGAAGCAGCTAACTTCTAATTCTGAGCAAGATAGGAAGAATAAGTTGATTTTACAGTATTTAAAGACTTGAACAAGTATGATTTTTCCAGTGTAATTAAATAGGAATTGTTCCATGAATACAATGTGCTTAAAGCATTATGAAGCTGGAAGAGACTGAGAAAGAAGTCTGTGACTTAAAAATAAGGACAAAAATTTTATAAAAGGGAACAATATATTACCAAAATCACTCATGAGACTCATTTTATGGGTTTTTTCTAGCTGAAAGTCTAAGTAATTCTTTGCACAGACCATTTCTGATTATAATACAATCAAGAAACCTATTTACTCCATAATAAGAAAATAGTATGTATTTTCCCAGGCATGGAACATACCCATGTACTGGTCCAACTTTGTTCAGGAAGCAATTATGTTTGTTTAAAGGAAATTACTCATTTCTGGGAGAACAGAAAGGTTTACGCCCCAGAGTGGACACTGGACAAAATCTCAATGAGTAGGTACTATTTCTTTCATGTAATAACCCCATGATCCATATTTCCTGATGATGTTACTGTAGCTTGTTTTTCCTTCGAGGACCTTTAGTTCCATAAACAACGATTGCCATTACAACCCCTTGATGCTGAGGTGGAAAATGAGTATGCTTTAAAATCTATAATTAAGATCCAAGGTCCAGCATATTGACCACAACATGTGGACCTGATTATTGGCTTCATATTTTTTGCTAGACTACTTCTGGTTTTAGTTTAAATGCAAGGGAAATGAAAAGGACTCTTTTGCTTATTCATACAAGAGAACATTTAAATAATTACTAGCAAGTAAGGTGCACTAATAAAGTAGGAGTTGCAGTACTCCTTTAGCTCTGTGCAACACAATCTCACCAAACACAAACGAAAATCTTTTAGTTCTATTATATTTGCCTTTCTGTTCAAAGGTAACTGATGCTCTTTATGTTCTGATATGCCGTGCCTGCATAAAATAAGACAGATACAATTTTCTGTATTTTGTAGAGAGTGAGTGCAGAAGAAGATGGTGTGTGCTGTAAAATTGCAGGCAGAGCAAAAGAATTGGGGCTTCCCATGAAGGAACAACATACGTGTTCCTGTGCACCTTACTCAGATTTTCAGCTTTGTGTCATGAGGCAGAAGAGCTTAGCCCATGGTGTGGGCTCTTCATCCAAAAGATGTCACTACATGTTCCTGAAGATGCCAGCCCTTTTCAGTCATTTGGTCTGAGAGTCTCAGGCTTAATGATGGTCACATTACACGAGAACTGTACTCAAACAAGAGACCTGTATGAGTATTCCTACTGAAATCCATAGTGTGGCACATACAACAGCTGTGTTGGGCTCTCGGAGTGGCCACTCACTGCCTAGGCAGCAGCTGGCTAATCCCCACTTTCTCCAGTGAGTAGTTTGGAGACAACAGAGGGAACTGAATATAATATATGTCATCAGGGAGATGCCAGGCTTTGCTATTTCTCTTGCCCCAGAATGTGTTTTAATGTTCACACCAGGATAGCCCCTGGTTCCTTCACTGCTGGTGTAATTAGACCAGGGATGTAAGGAAGGACTCCACTTATCTGCTAATCTTAGTGCCTACATACTTAATGCCTTTGTATTCACTTTTTTTTTTTTTTTTTTTTTTTTTTTTTTTAGTATTGTTGCCATTAGAAAATATATTGCTGTGATTTAACTTTTACATGCATTCTTCACAAATTAAAAATCTATAGATAACAGGCAAAGCTAACTCAGGGAAGTGGGACTGCTGTATTTTCATAACCCATCCAAGCCCATTCTTTCAGCTGGGATGGTGTGTTTGCCTTCAGAAAATATTGTACTACAGGTCAGATCTAAGTATTTTTAGTATTTTCCCATAACATTCGTAGATGTCAGCCTGTGGAAAGGAAGAAAGACTCTAATCAAAACAAATTGAATCTCTCGCCTCCTACAGTGAGACAAAATGCCACCAAAAGGTCTATTTGCATTGATTTCTAATCTTGAAAGAATTCTGACATTTATTTGTTATTTATTACCCTCAATGGGATGGAAAGGGTTTGACAATTGATGGTGCAAATAAGTTAATAATACATATTCAGGCAGGTTGGTCAGTGCTGCCAGGCTTGCAACATGGCAGCAACATTTGAAAAGTGAACCTGAGAAGCTGAGTAACTGCACCAGTTGCTTTCTCTTCCCAAGCTCGGGTGTTGCAACAGTTCTGCCATTGTCAGTATTTCAACCAGTTCAGGTATGTGGATTTTCCAACTGCAATTACACCCTTAGCTGATAGCACTGATGTGCCTAAGGATAATCGCAGTTCAGGTCTTGGGTGTGAA